GTTGCTAACATTCACGGATAATAAAAAATAACATAATAATAATAATAATTTTATAATATAACATATACGGATATCATAAAAATGAGAGTGAGAGACATCTATAACTGAATCGGCAATTACTTAGTTGCCAACCCAATATATTATGAAAACCTCCTCGTTGAGACTGAGGCTAATCCTTTTATTGGTTTCAATATTAACACTATGCCGTCCGGTGGCACCACGCTGGTGCCATGCAAAAACTATCTGTTGTATGCCGGTGGTACCACTTTGGTACCATTTTAGAAAGCTGAAATAACATTTGAACTATATTTCTTGGGTGTTAAAAAAGTCAGCAAGCTAACTATAGCATTGTGGTCGCTTTTCCTTGACCGCTGCATTCAATTTGTCCAGTTGCTAACATTCACGGATAATAAAAAATAGCATAATGATAATAATAATAATAATTTTATAGTATAACATTTACGGATATCATAAAAATGGGAGTGAGAGACATCTATAACTGAAATCGGCAATTACTTAGCTGCCAACCCAATATTATTATAATTAAGAGTCTTTCAACCGGGTTTGGAAATTCGTTTTTATTGCGATGTTGTCTAGTAAATGGAATTCTATTGAGATTTCTATGAAGTTGTTGCAAAAGTAATTTCGATTTTTCGAATAAACAGCTTCAGAAAGAATCGAAATTACTTTTGCAACAACCCAATAGAATCTAATTTCATGAATTAAATCCTGTGAAATTTGTAGGAATTTTTTAGATCGATGTTCGCGCCATTTTATTTTCCAGGTTTTGTCAAAGAGCCGACATTTTTGTTAATGCTATCTCTTTATAATTTTACTTATTTTACAATAGTTTTTATGGGGATGATAAAATTGATGTCATTTAAGACTAGTAAAAATTAATATTTAGACAGAAAAATTACAAAAATTACGAAATCTGACGTGTGAAATAAAAAAAAAATGGAAATGTAAATATTAATTTTTAATATTCACTAAGTAATTTACGTACTGTAAGGATATGCAACAAATAAAACTTGGTTATAGAATTCCAACGTTAATTTAATCAAATTTCGTCATTGTCTACTGACTTGTCTACTGATATCTTAATGTACTATACAAAAATTAGCCATTAAAATGGGATTTCCATATTTGTCTGACGTCAGACGTGCATTGTTTAGTCTCGTATAGGAGCGCGAAGGTGATTGCATTAATGGTTTAGTAGTTCCACAGATAATCTAAGAAAGACTAGGAAGATGAAAACTCACCGTGCTCATCAGAAGCAAAATGTATCCGGTCAAGTATTCGCGATGGTGGTAATCTATCATCTTGGCATCGGCCACCACCATGATCTCGATGAAATACTGAAGTGGTAGGGCCCGGTGTGTCATGAAGGGAGTCAATTCCATCTGCGAGATGTGACCGTACTCCACGCTAATCTCGTCCCTTCTATGCTCTACGAAATAGTGTCTGGAATTTTTCAATCATATTTTTTAGCCTGTGCAATCTCCACGTTACGACGATCCTCCTGACAGTTACGTTTTCATAATTCAAAGTACACGTTTCTAATTTTAACTCCGGCGCGGATATCCTAAGCTTTCTACGGCATTCGATAACATTATTCGACGTATCAAGATAAATGTTGAAATAAAAATGATTTCGATTTTTGTGAAAACTGCGATCTTCTCAGTTATTTGAAACTGATTCGGTGTATTTAAAAAAGTTTTCGTAGCCTAATAATGTAATAATAATAATAATAATAATAATAATAATAATAATAATAATAATAATAATAATCTCGAGTAAGATATGTGCATAAAAATTCGCCATTTTGGAGGATGTTGACTTGACAATAAAATAGCCTGATTCATTTTGTTTAAAGCAAAGTTCGAAGGCCTCTATTGTAACTTCGTCGGTAATTGAAATAAAATAAAATACTTCTATGTTTCGCATGTTTCACAATTTGCGAAAGAGTCTTTTGATCAGGAGAAAAAATATATTTCCGAAATGGTACAATTCTACGAGAATGAATTTCTAATCTAGGCACGCAAGTGCTCGGAATATCATTGTTATCACGATTAAGACAGCAAAACGTTTGTCACCTCTTATACCTGTCGCTGTTTCGTAAAAAATGCATACTCTCCGAACGTCGTCGTTCTACAGGCGACTCATATCTCTCTTTGTTTTGGACGTCATCGACGAACTTTTTTTCCGTCAGCGACCTACGCCTCCGCGATAGGGTATCGATGTAAACTTTATTCTCGGATACATCGTCTGTATCGAAATTCGGTATGTCGTCATCTGCAACAGAAAAAGAATCATTTGTTTATACATTTTTCCAATGATGTTTAATTGGTGGGACAAATGGGCATTTTAGGTGTAAAAAGATCATATTAGCACAAATGTTTACTTATAATATATTGTAATATATTTAATACATATTAATACTAATAATACAATATAATATTAGTATTAATATTATTATAATATTAATATAAATATATTACAATATATTTAATATATATTGTATTATTAGTATTAATACTAATAATATTATATTGTATATTAGTATTAGTATTAATATTATATTATACAATAATACTAATACTAATACTAGTAAAGTAATGCTAGTACTAGTATTAGTGTGTGTTATATTATACAATAATACTAATACTAGTATTAAATTTTATGTTTCAGCTAGTAATTCGAGTGTTCCCGTGCAAACATTTCAGCAACGAAATTGTTCGCTATAGTAAGCTACCGAAAGAGCAAGTACATACAATAGCGCACAGCACGCGTTACGTATCGATAAAGAAGATTGTTACACGTGCGTCGCTGTATTTTATCAATATTCGCAGCTCGTTGCTTTGTTTGCGCGTGGTCGTCTTGATCTAGTTGCGGCTTCTAACACTATTGTTTGAAAATCGCCTGGCACAAAGAAGGCAACAATAATCGAACAGAGAGAAAATAGTTACGATAAGAACATGGCTTGAAATCAGACAAACAAAAGATACGCTCTTAATGGACAATTGCATTGTTTTTTCCAGCGGACAATAAATCATCGATTATGACAGAATTTACTATCGACGCACAATCACGTATTTATCAACAGAAATTTCTCGACGGTATATACGTATGTACTTGCGAAATATATAATAATATATTATATATAATATAAATATAATATAAAATATATATAATTTTTCATTTCGTTCGAATTTCATACTGTGA